CCAGTGGAAGGGCGATGATGATTACCTGCAATGGCTGGACCAGTGTCTTGCACAGTTCTGGCGGGTACTGAAGCCTGCCGGAAGTCTTTACCTGTTCTGTGGTCATCGCCTGGCATCTGACACCGAACTCATGATGCGTGAACGTTTTAATGTGTTGAACCACATTATCTGGGCGAAGCCGTCCGGACGCTGGAACGGGTGCAACAAAGGAAAGCCTGCGGGCGTATTTCCCGGCAACAGAGCGCATTCTGTTTGCCTGAACATTATCAGGGGCCATACCAGCCTCAAAAGTGACGGTTATGCAGCAAAGGGGCGCGAGCTTAAGCAGCACGTCATGGCCCCGCTGATTTCTTACTTTCGTGATGCGCGTGAATCACTGGGGATAACGTCAAAACAGATAGCTGAAGCCACCGGAAAGAAAAACATGGCTTCGCACTGGTTTGGTACCAGTCAGTGGCAGTTACCGAATGAGGCCGATTACAGTAAACTGCAGGCGCTGTTTGCACGTGTGGCGGCAGAAAAACACCAGCGCGGTGAACTGGAGCAGCCACACCACCAGCTGGTCAGCACATACAGCGAACTGAACCGGCAATATGCCAGCCTGCTGGAGGAATACAAATCACTGCGGCGTTATTTTTCCGTATCGGCTGTCGTTCCTTATACGGATGTCTGGACGCACAAGCCCGTGCAGTATTATCCGGGTAAGCATCCCTGTGAAAAACCGGCGGATATGTTGCGTCAGATAATTACTGCCAGCAGCCGTCCAGGCGATTTGGTCGCAGATTTTTTTATGGGGTCGGGGTCGACAATAAAAGCGGCACTGTCGCTGGGACGCAGGGCGATTGGCGTGGAACTGGAAGAGGAACGTTTTAATCAGACGGTCAGAGAAATAACGAAAGATTTTTAATTCAGTGATGATATAAGTTGTATATTTCTGATACAGATGTATACACATATTTAAAACTGAACACCAAATATATTTTTGATGTCTGAAAAACTGTCGTTAGTATTCTGACTGGTCCGGAAGGTGGTTGTCTTTATGTTCACAGGGGTGTTGCTTGCCACCGGAAATACCAGTGCTGGCTTTCCTGGTAATTCGTGTGATTCCGGAAGCCAGCACAGTATGCGGGTATCGTATAATGGCTATTACCTCAGCTTTCCAGGCTGATGATGCGGGTTCGATTCCCGCCACCCGCTCTCCAGTAAAACTGATGAGTCATAGCTTTATTATCAGCACTGGCGAATTTTCGTGAAGAATCTGGTTGCGGACACTTTATTTTCTTCATTCTGTAATGCCTGGCCGGTTACAGTTTCAGTGCTGTGTTTTTTACATTGTTAATGGTATGCGTTATCAGAATGAGTCGTCGCCTGTACCGGGGCCTACGATTCGTCAGAATTGCGGTTGCAGGTTGACGACTCATTCTGATACCGATAATTCGATACAAGTAATCCTGCTTAACTCTTACATGATGAATGCGTTAGCCCGTCTCCTGACGGGCATTTTTTTATCCATACACAGGGTTCGTACCGGCGGACCTTTTTCACATCTGTGTCCTGTACACACCACATCAGAAAACACCAGATAACACCACACAAAAGGTATCTGCGGGTGCCTTTGACGGGGTGTTTTTTTACGGGCCGACAGTGGCCCTTTTTTATTTACAGGAGAAAAAGTATGTCTGAACCCTTATCCGGTTCCGGCACGGCTGCGGCGCTCGGCGGGGCGACGGTATTCGGGCTGTTTACCGGAACGGATTTTCGTATTGTGTTTGGTGCATTCGCAGGGGCGCTGTTTGTGGCCACGATACCACAGAAGATTTCTGTCTGGCGTGTGGCAGCGCATTTTCTGGTGTCGTTCATTGTTGGCGTGCTGGGGGCGGATGTGATGGCGTCTTACCTGGTTGAAAAACTGAATCTCCACAGCACATCTCTCGACGCGCTTTGCGCGGTACTGGTATCGGTGGTGTCGGTGAAGATTCTCTCATTCATCCACCA